ATAAAAGCATTTTTAAAAATTTTAAAATAAGAAATACAATATTAAACAGCCCCAGGCCTGACGGAACAGCCAGATCTTGGTGGCTTTATGGAAGGCCGGGAGAGTGGTGAGGGTCCGGATCTCTACGGGTAGTTTGTTCCACAGGGCCGGCACAGCTACAGAGAAGGCCCTCCCCCGAGGGGCCGCCAGCCGACATTGTCCGGTCGACGGTACCCGAAGGAGGCCCAACCTGTGCGATCTTATTGGTCTTTGGGAGGTAAATGGCAGGAGGCGGTCTCTCAGGTAGCCAGGTCCTAAAACATGTAGGGCTTTAAGAGTAACGACTAGCACCTTGAAGCACGTCCGGAGACCAATGGGGAGCCAGTGCAGCTCGCAGAGGATAAGTGTAACGTGTGTATCTAGGTACACCCAGTATCGCTCGCGCGGCTGCTTCTGGACCAACTGTAGTCTTCAAACACTCTTCAGGGGCAGCCCCATGTAGAGCGCGTTACAGTAATCCAGTCTTGAGGTGATGAGGGCACCTTTGGAGAAATGGAGCTGAGCGTTTACTAGCTGGATGCTCTTTCTGATGCCTACATGGAGTTCACAGCAGATATTGTATCCTTGCATCCTGGTAGGCATCAGTCACTGCCTAGAATTGAACTCTCAATCTTCTGAGTGGGAGATGAGTGTCTGCACCTCTAGGCAGTGGTGGGATTCAAATAATTTAACAACCGGTTCTCTGCCCTAATGACCAGCTGGGTAGGTGGGGCTCGGTGGTCATGCGACTGGGTGGGCGTGCAACTCAACGTCACTCACATCGATGGGCCTTAGCTGTTACAATGTAATGAGGGTTAACCGGAGAGGCAGTTTCTGTAAGCAGGGCAATAAAGATGAGGCTAGAAACAACACCATTGTAATTTCAAATGCTCACTAAATGAATGGTTGTAAGTTGAGGGCTACCTGTATGATGATTAAATTAACAGCCTGAATTAACCAAGATTAATTGTCAGAGTCTCCTGTAAAATTGAATTCTTTCTCTATATACTATCAGAGAATAAGGTAAAGGTAAAGGTTCCCCCGCACATGCGTGCTAGTCATTCCCGACTCTAGGGGGCGGTGCTCATCTCCATTTCTAAGCCAAAGAACCAGCGCTGTCCAAAGATGCCTCCGTGGTCATGTGGCTGGCATGACTAACGGTGAAGGCGCACAGAACGCTGTTCTCTTCCCACCAAAGGTGGTCCCTATTTTTCTACTTGCATTTTTACATGCTTTCAAATGGCTAGGTTGGCAGAAGCTGGGACAAATAACGGGAGCTCACTCTGTTACGCGGCGCTAGGGATTCAAACCTCTGAACTGCCGACCTTCTGTTCGACAAGCTCAGTGTCTTAGCCACTGAGACACCGTGTCCCCCTATCAGAGAATGAACAGAAGCTAATAGAAATTCTCAAGAAATTTAATGCCATCTTACCTTTTCTCTTTGGCTCCATTTATCAATGACATCGCTTGCAAAATTAAAATATTCTGGCACACCTCTGTCTTGAGGCTCAGAATCTGGGTTAGTCAGAGATGCAAATCCATGACGGTTGAATCGGCAAGGGAACGTAGGAACACCAGCAGACTGGAACCGAGGAAGTCTGGAGAGGAACTTCATAGCACCAACTCTGGGTGATATCTCGTCTAGCTAAAGTAAACAGAGTAAAATTGAGAGAGCCAATCGTCATGAAGGTTAAACAAGGAAACCAATGAGCTTGAAGGCTCAACGCTGCCTAACGGGCAAGCAGAAATGTATTTATATAGCCTCGAGTCTTAGACTGTAATAGTAGATGTTAGGAATATAATGTAATGGTTGGTTGGCAATATATAAATCATGTAACAATGCTATACCTGTTTCTTTAAATCATACTGTAGAATGTGATTGGTTGTTGCTTTCCTCAATCGGCCATAAGAGGGAGCCAGAATGACTGTTAGCTCTCTGTTCGTTAGATGCTGGGCT